GTAGACGATATATAATTAAAAGGAAAAAAAAAATAAAAATACATAATCACAAACGTACGTATTAGTTGACGAGTTAACATGGGATTTAGCGAAAGGTTAAGGGAGTGTGCTAGTGAACCTTACAAGTAACATCGCTGTACATATCTGTTGTGTATAGCCGACAACATGCCACTATCCCGCGAAAGTAGTGTTCATGTCCTCGTATCACGAAAGATTTTCTACCATGAAATGCAAGAGATTTTAGCGACGGGGCCTCATTGATTTATGACACTTGGTTTTCATTAATCACCATTACATTTTTAATCCCACATCACATTTTTCTAGATCAGAGTTATGAAAATTTTGAGTTGTCAATCATATCTCTCTCGCATCACTTTTACAAAAAAGTAGATAAATTGATAGAAATCGTATATGTTTTATATCGTAAAAATGACTAAAAAACGCTCCGCTAGGATTCTTGTTATTTCATGACACTTTCTGTCTTAAACATCTTAAATTTGACACGTCTTTTCGTCTTCAGAAGGGAGACCGAGGCTGGACGAGGCATATCGATCTGTGATTCATTCCATATGTCAAACCATTGACGCAAAGGCAAAATTTTATTTTCCTCCGTATAAATAGTAAGGAGAATTCAGTAGCTTTGACGCGGAAAATTGCTCAGCCATCAAAGCCTCGAGATCCCTTCAAACACATTCTCGTCTACATCAGCTTCTCAAAACCATAGTTAAATTGCTTCGGAGCGATTCTCCTTACATCACTATAATCTCGAGCAAGTGATCTTCTTTGTCACTTCACGTACCGAGACGTAAACCAACATACGTAGAACCAACATTCAAGAGATGAAAATTATTTGCTCAAGATTATAAAAATACAGCAGTAGAAATCATAATTTTTCGATCCTTTCGGTAACTAAAGAGATTCAGCACAAACGCTTGCCCGACCGAAGTTATGACCGAGAACTTTTCAAGAATGCGTTTTGACTCGTTAACATCACTTCCAGAATTTCATATGTTAACTTGAGGGAAAAAAAGATCTATTTTTTGCTGTGGAAAGCTGAAAAGTTTCAAAATTTCTTAAACGTCATTATTGAACGTCACAATTTAAAGCAAATATATCTTTAAAAATGTTTTAAAAATACATACAATATCAGCTAAAAGTATCAGTCAAAAAAGTCAATATCAGTTAACAAATTTGGATCGTAAATACAGACTGAAACCAAGTATAAAAAAATAAAAATAATTTATATAAGCTTATAATGGCTTTTGCAGTGTAATTGTCATGCTACCACTTTGAATAATTTTGAAACAAATAAGTGAATTCAAATGAATTTTTGCACGAATATTTATTATAATTTTAATATATATAATAATTTGATTTTGTAATGTTCCCATCAAATTTGTAAATTATAATGTCAAATTGTCCAATTTGAGTTATTTTTAATCATTTCTATAGATCTCGTCACTACTCTAATATATCATTAATTTACTTAACTAAGATAATTAATCTCATTCAAGAAAATGTATTAAATTTGTATCAAATTTAATTGATTATTTATTAAATGCAAGTACACGTTAATATAGACGTTTACTTTAAAACTAAATACAGAAATAGATTGAAATTTACATTTCAACAAACATGGAAGTAAAAAATAACAAAATCTTGTTTAATTCAAGAGATTAGGTTGCATCTTTGCGATTTAACAGTATTTGAAATGTAACACATACATCCTTAAAGTAACAGAATAAGACCGCTTCTCCGACAATGTTCTCGAATATTGCTTCCTTTGGGTGACGCGTGTTCCTTCGATATTGCGTTCTTGACGATCTCCTCGGCTCTAAGCACAAGGAAATACAATCCCGTAGCGCTTGTTACTGAGTTATCCATTGACACGCCGTTATTCAATACGCACGCATTGTAGTTTCGTAGAATGCTCAGCATGCAGCAGCGGCTTCTCGGCGTGGCGGCGGATAGACGCCGCAGGTGATTTTTCTATGTATGTCGCGTCTACTTGCAAAAAAAATGATATGTAATAACGGGAGAGAGAAAAAGAAACAGAAAAACGATACGATATGTTTAGAAAAAGAAGAAGTCCTGTACTCGAATTAACTTTACGCTTAGCGCAAAGTAAAGTAGCGTTTCCTTCGAGCGCAAGAGCCGCGTGAGTTTCGCTCTCTTTGATTTTTCCCTCGGCGTTTTTATTCACGCACTTCATAAAGCGGATGTATCCTAACAACAATTCATTCCCGCTGAATTCATGTAAAGTAATCGACACTCGTTATATTATAAGAAGAACGAGCAATTCTAAAGAATATTGAAGCATCAGCTTCGATTTAAGAATTCTGACATAAAAAATATAACATAATTTTACAAATAAAACCATGTGGCGTCCGCTAAAAGTGCTATTTTGCTTCTTCGATTCCCAATGTTTCCAAACGGATCCAAGAAAATCTCTGAATTTATGCTAGGAGGTTCTCGAAAGAAATCCGTGTATAATACGTGTTTATATCCGAATGCGAATCTCAAATACCTCTTGAACAACATTGCGGAATCGAAGGATCTGGGGAGAAAATAAAGGAAAAATGAAGAGCGCGAGATTCCCGATGCGGCTCATCGCGGGAGGGTGCAAAATTTATTATTGTTACGCCGGATCGCGATCGGCGGTCGACACGCGACTAAGGAAAAAAAGCAATACTTCATAACTATCTTATATGTCTTTGGAATGCCGTTGAAAGTCCGGCGGTAGAATCGAAGGATGATAATATGTCAAAAGTAAAGAAAACGTGAGGAAGGATGCATGAGAAGCTAAAAGAGAGAGCGTGCGTGTGAGAGAAAGAGAAATATATATATAAATTAATATATATAT